CGAAAGCACGTGTTGCCCCCCCTCAAAGCCGTCTCTATACCACGTTTAGAGTTGGCAGCTGCTACTCTGGCTGTGCGCGTGGCTGATCTCATCCGGTCAAGCACCGATAGGTATTCTAAACAATAACTTTCTGGACTGATTCTGTGATGGTCCTTTATTTTATACACAATCAATCAACCAGGTTCTGCCCATTTGTGGCCAACCGACTGACGGTTATATATGATCTGTCTGCGACCTCTCAGTGGAGATACGTGAGTTCAGACGTCAACCCAGCAGACATTGCTTCTCGAGGTACGTGCAACTTTGCGCTGATACGTAGATGGTTGGACGGTCCGGAATTTTTAGTTCAACCTGAAAGCGAATGGCTTGTACAACCTCCAGTAGGACAACCTGAAAACTTGGAATTCAAGAGGACAACAACCCAAGTTCATGTATTAAATCAATGTGATGGTTTAGACGAATTAGTTATGAGTTTTTCAAGTTGGACAAAACTACAAAGGGCTGTGGTCTGTCTCCTGTGTTTCAAGCAGTACGTCAGAGTCACCACTGGCAAGGCACCTATGGAGACGCTGATGTTGGGTCCTATCCGAGTATCCGAAATGCGCCAAGCTAGCATTAGCTTGATAAAGCTTATACAAAGGAAGCACTTTTAAGAAGAATTGGATATTCTGCAGTCTACACCAGCAGGTTACTAGAAAATAAAGTCCATGAGAAATATTGGTCTGAGAAAGTTATGCCCGGTTTTGATTGAAGGAGTAATGTGCGTTGGTGATCGCCTGAACTACTCAAATTTTTGTGAATCGTTAAAACACCCATCCATCCTGGCCAATTCGAAGAATTCATCAAAGTCTTCGGCGCGCTGACGGCCACTGACAATCCTGTAGGTGTGAATGAGATTGCCGTGAAGTTGTCTGTAATTTAGAATGTGCAGATAATCCGCAGATCTTATATTTATTGAAAGGTTTTTCCAGAGGGAAGTATATTTGGAAGCGAAAAAAGCGAGCGCTAAGAGGTGGAGGAAGCTGGAGGTGGTAAACTGAAGGAAGGGTTGCGAAGATTGTTTGGGCGAGTACTAGGGGTAATTGCTGAAATCCGAGGAAGATTTGAACTATTATTAATGTGAAAGAGGAGACTGAAGGTTCTAGTCGTCGAACCAATAAAAAGTTTAGGTTAAATAACTGGCATCTAACTGAGTAGGAGATATTTGGATGTTCCCTATCTACAAGTTTTTTTTAGAAAAACGTCGTTGGACATTTTTAATTTTTAAACGACTAGCCTCATTCATCAAACCAAAGAATTGGCAGCAACACTCGAGAATAGGAAGTACAAGCATACGATGGAGTCTTAATTTAATTTTAGGAAGATGGACACTGTAAGATGTAAAGTCACATATCTGGACAGCTTTGGCTGTAATTCTGTTCGCGTGTGACGAGAAATTAAGATTATTAGTGTAGCTTAAACCTAAATCCTTGATGTTAGTACACTCAGTCATAGGTGTGCCTTGAAAGACCACTGGTTGGGGTAGCCTCTCTGTTCGAAAACACATATAGCGACATTTAGGCGGCGAGAATTCCATTAGCCATTTTGAGCTCCAAACTGAGAGGGCAAGCAAGTCAGTTTGGATTTGCTGCAGGCAATGAAGGCTCGTAGATTTATTGAAAGTATATACACATTTAGGATCATCGGCATAAATGAATGGTTGAGAATGCTTAACTGGCGCCGAGATATAATTTATGTACAGCAGGAACAAAAGAATATCTAAAACGGTGCCTTGTAAGACACCACTTACAATAGGGCTTTCACTGGAAAATGAAGATCACATCAAAACCTTTTGTTTACGGTTAGACAGGTATGAATTGATAAAGTCTATTAGGGGAATTCGAATTCCCAGCGCTTCTAATTTAACCAAGAGTCTTTTATGTGGCACTTTATCAAAGGCTTTACTAGGATCAAAATAAATAACGACAACAGACAAATGATTATTACGAAGAGAAGTAAGTAGATTGAGAAACGACAAATGACGTGTTTCACAGGAGCGATCTGGTAAAAAAACCATGCTGGGAAGAGCTATTAACTTGATTGGCTATGAAAAAGTCGGTAATTTTTAAGGCGATAATTTTTTCAAAGGTTTTAGCGAGAGAAGGCGTTTTATGGAAACCTCAGTAGTTCTGAACGTCAGAACGACAGCCAGACTTAAATACTGGAATAAGAATAGAAGTTTTCCAATAGTCAAGAAAGAAGCCATTTACGAGGAATACTGAAAAGAGTTTGCTAAGCAGAGGAGGAAAATCTCGTAGATGTTTTATACGAGAGTTTGGGATATTGTCCGTACCTACAGAGTGAGAGTTAGGAAGATGGTTTATCAGTTTTTGAAAACATTCAGGAGAAAAATTAATGATGCTGAGAGATGCATCAGGCAACGGAGGAATTGAAGGGATTGGGTCAGTTTCGATGGTGAAATATTTGGCAAAGGAAGAATTAAACATTTCTGCTTTGCCTGACTCCTCTGTAATGAAGCATCGTTGGTACTAAGCAAAGGTGGAATGGATTGGTGGGATTTAGCAGATGATCTTTGACGGAAGATCTGAGCAACTGAGTTAGAAGCATTCACGTCATTAATAGATAAAGACTCTCTACGCCTATCTCGCGCAAGTCTCATTTTCGCAGCTAATTCAAATATTTCGATGATTCTTAGATGAAGTGATAATGAGCTCACAGAAGGATCTCTAAGCTGCTTCTGTAGCTTTTTAAGTCTGTTATTAAGAAAGTGTGGGACAGCGGTGTAAGTGGCACTCGATTTGAACGTCTGCGGAAGTAGGTCGGAAGACCTTCTGTTACGCATCGTCATAGATTGTTGAAAAAATTAAGAGCATTATTTGAAAAAATATTGTGCGAATCAAGAGTGCTTGTAAAGCTATATATTTATTCCTAGTTAATATTAGCTAAGTCAAAAATACTACGCTGTACTGTTGGCTTTGCGGAAATGACAAGTGGAAGGCGACACTGAATTAATGCATAATCACTTGCGAAAAGGTCATGATAGAAATCCATAGATAGAGGGAAGGTGCCATTAGTGAAAATTAAGTCTAATACACTATCATTTCTGGTCGAAGAGTGGACTAATTGAGACAAGCATGAAGTGCAAATGGTGTCAAGAAGCTTCTGAAATTTAGGAGAGGAAGTGTGTGTGCCAGTCAATTTCTGACAAATTAAAGTCGCCTACGATGATCTTGACATCGAAAGAAGTCTCAGCAACTTTTCAAATATTTCACAGAGTTGGCTTTTGAAGAAGGAGACACGATCGCCCGGACAAGAGCTTTATTAGCCTGACGTTTCGGATTCCTACTCGAATCCATCATCAGAGACAAAAGAGCAGAAACGGGTGGTTGTTGCACAAGGGGCTGCGGTATTTATAGGATGCAGCAGCCATGCTACCGCATGCCTATGAACGTTCACGGCTTCCCCCTTCATCCGGGATTGTCACACTTGGGGTGATCATTGCTTGATGGCCGACATTCGAGTCGATAATTGCCGCAATTTCATCACGTGCGTTGGATGTTGGCGTGATGATTGCTCGACCATCTGATGCGTTGACCCGGGTGTTGGGAAGAGTGTTCACCAGTGCGCTCCCCGCGTGGCCAATTACTCCGCCTAGACGAAGTCTCAGCACGCTGTATTGAATGGGAAGATCGTTGCACTTTTTGATGGACTGGGGGCCAGTAAACCATGATTCTAGTAGCTCCCGGCTCACTCGGTTGTCACCTCTTGCGAGAATTTCGGCCTCGTCGAATTTAAATGTGTGGCCGGATCTCGTCGAATGAGCCGCAACTTGAGAGCTGGCGTCATTTCTGCGCACCGCTGCCGCGTGTTCGGCCATTCTCGTTCGGAGCTGTCTTCCGGTTTCTCCGACGTAGTTGCTTTGTCCGCAACTGCACCAGATCCGATAAATGACTCCAGACGTTTCTAGCCTTGGCAGTGGGTCTTTCGGTTTCATGATCAGACGCCTGATGGTTGCCTCCGGTTTGTGTGCCACTCCAACCCCAAGTGGTGCGAGAAGGCGGCGAGAAGGTGCGAGAGTTGGCTTTTATGTAAGGAAGATGAAGACCCGATCTCTGGGACAGTGGTTGTATTAGTCTGAGCTTTCGGTCTCGTACAGGAGGCCATCGTCAGAGACTGTGAGAAGGCAACATCAAATGAGCGGTTTTTGTAGTCACGCCATGAAGGGGGGAAGGAGATATGAGTGCAGAGGATGGTATTCGCGATAAGTTGCGTCCCACGCCGTCTCACGGTGGCGCGACTGCGTGCACTCTTGGCTGGAAATTGGGTCTCGCCCGTTGGCCGCGGGAACGGAGCGCGTGATAGCAGGGGGGTATGTCAACGTGCCTGTTGATAGCGTTGGTGTCAGACATCCAGGCCTCTAACAGTTCTCGTCCTGTCTTATTGCTGGCCCGCGCCACTATCCGCGTGCTCGCAAAGTTTAATTCGTGGCCTTCCTCCAGGATGTGAGTGGCGACCTGAGACAACGGGTCGCCTCTCTGGACTGCCCGTTTGTGCTCCGTTATTCGTGAGATAAGTCGTCGTCCGGTTTGTCCAGTGTAGTGGCGAGGGCAGTCCCGACATGGGATCTGGCAGACGACGCCCGATTGTTCACCCACGTCTAGGCGATCCTTCACTTGCATGATTTTGCTGCGCATGGTCGCTGTCGGACGGTGAGCGATACCCACGCCGAGCTCTCCAGCGATACGTTCCATCGCTTCGGATACGTTCTTTATATATGGCAGAGGGTGCCAGAGGGTTGACGGCTCTCCTCCGTTTGCTCGGCGTGGGCGCGTGCGGAGGCAGCGGCTGACGAAGCTGTTCGGGTATCCATTCCTTGCCAGTTGGTCCCGAAGATGCCGAAGTTCTCGTACTCGTCCCTCTGGTTCACTGCAGTGCGATTTTACCCTCTGGAAGAGTGTCCTAACACAGCTGCGTTTATGCGCCATTGGGTGGTTACTGTGCTAGTTGAGAATCTGAGTCGTGTTAGTCGCCTTTCTGTACACCGTGGTGTTGAGTTCGCCGTTGGGTGTACGTGTGACGAGAACGTCCAGGAAAGGCAGCTGTTCGGCATGCTCTTCTTCCCTTGTGAACTGAATGTCTGGGAAGATGCCGTTGAGCAGGTCTTGGAAGTCGGCCAGTCTGCTCCTTTCAATTATGACGGACGTGTCGTCCACGTACCGGCGCCAAAATGCAGGTTCATAGTGGTCGAAGGCGACTTTTTCCAGTTCCTGCAGGACTAGTTCTGCAACCAGGCTGGATATTGGCGAACCCATAGGCGTTCCTTTGATCTGCTCGTATGTTCTGCCATTGAAGGTGAAGAAGGTTTGTTGGCAGAAAGCAAACAGTTGCAGTAAGTGGCTTTCATTTCCGGAGGAACAGGTAGGATTATATACACAACCGACTAAGGCCTTCCTATTTCGCGGAAGTATTATCGAAGCGAAACATAAATTCCCAAAGAAGGAGGAAACGTTCAGGTCACAAGGTGACTGTGCATGTGAGGCTCTGATGTAAAGCAGGCAAATACCGCCGCATCTTTGGACATGATCCTGGCGGTATAAACCGAGGCTATCTATATTGAGTGAGAGAGTGAGCCCAAGATTCAGTAATGCACAATACATCTGGGTCAAACTCGAAAGCCACACCTCTAATTGGGCCATCTTTTGCACGACTCATTGCCACTTATAAAAAAGATAGAGCTGGTGGTGGAAAATTAAGGTGTTGGAACGAAGCAATCGGTGGTAGACATAGTTATTGTGGTCTAAAATTAGTGAGGTAATTACCACTAAGTAACGATGTAGCATTGTATGGGAAAATATTTGAGGAGGACCCGGGAAGAGGAAAGCTATTTTGTTGGGTTGGAAAAATAGGAGGCATGAAAATAGGATTTTGAGAATTTTGAGCATAATATGAGCGGAAGTTTATGTTAGGTAGCGGAAGTAATGGTTTTAAGAAACACTTTACTTGCATTTTGCAGGCTGGTGTGCAAGTGGGCTTCACGACAGAGGTCAGATCAGATCAGATTTATTAAGGGAAAAGTAGGCGAGCGCCTTTGAACTCCCTTTTGGGTACAATAACGTCATAAATAAAACAATGTGTAAGGCAAGTGTGAAAAAAAATTAGGTAAGTAATTACATACATCAAGCATT